TCCATCTTTTTTATCTTTTCAAAGAACCAGCTTTAAGTTTCATAAATTTTTGTTATTATTATTATTTTTTGCCTCTGCTTCATTTATTTCTGCTCAGATCTTTATGATTTCTTTGCTTCTGCTAACTTAAGGTTTTATTTATTCTTCTTTCTCTAGTTATTTTAGATGTAGGTTAAGTTGTTTCTTTGAGACTTTTCTTGTTTCCTGAGGTAAGATTGTACTGCAGTAAACTTCCCTCTTAGGACTGCTTTTGCTGCATTCCACAGGCTTTGAATCAGTGTGCTTTCACCTTCATTTGTCTCTAGGTATTTTTTTTATTTATTCAGTGATCCATTGGTTGTTTAGTAGAATATTGTTGAGCCCCAATTGTTTGTGTTTTTTACTTTTTTCCTATAGTTTATTTCTAATCTCATAGTGTTGTGATCAGAAAAGATGCTTGATATGATTGCAGTTTTCTTAAATTTTAAGGCTTGCTTTGTGGTCTAGCATGTGGTCAATCCTGGAGAATGTTCTATGTGCACTTGGAAAGAATCTGCTGCTTTTGGATGGAATGCTCTATAAATAACAATTAGGTCCATCTGGTATAATTTGTCATTTAAAGCCTGTGTTTTCTTATTGATTTTCTGTTTGAATGATCTGTCCATTGATGAAAATTGGGAGCTGACTTCTCTTACTATTATTGTGTTACTGTTAATTTCTCTCTTTATGGCTGTTATTATTGGCCTTATATATTGTGCTCCTATGTTGTGTGCATGTATACTTACAATTGTTAAATCTTCTTAGGTTGATCCCTTGATCATAATGTAGTGTCCTTCTTTGTCTCTTGTAACAGTTTTTATTTTAAAGTCTATTTTCTCTACTATGAATATTGATTTTCCAGCTTTCATTTGATGTCCATTTACATGGAATACCTTCTTCCATCCCCTCATGTTCAGTCTGTATGTGTCCCTAGGTCTGAGGTAGGTCTTTTATAGAAAGCATATATAAAGATACTGTTTTTTAAATCCACCCAACCAGTCTATGTCTTCTGGTTGGCGCATTTAGTACATTTATATTTAAGGTAATTATTGAGATGTGTATTCTTATTGCCATTTGCTTAATGTTTTGGATTTGTTTTTGCTGGTCTTTTTTCTTCTCTTCCTCCTTTGTTCTCATCTCCTGTGGTTTGATTACATCTTTATTTCTGTGTTTGCATTGTTTTTTCTTTTGTGTGTGTATATCTATTGTAGCTTTGGGGTTTCCTGTTCCCATGAGGTTTTGATATAATAGTTTGAATGTGTAGAACCTCTGTCCATAGTTCTTCAGGCACTCTGTATATCAAATCTAATCCTTTCAATCTATTTGTTACTTCCACTGTGTAATCATAAGGGATTTGATTTAGGTCATACCTGAATGGTCTAGTGGTTTTCCCTACTTTCTTCAATTTAAGTCTGAATTTTGCAATAAGGAGTTCATGATCTGAGCCACAGTCAACTCCCAGTCTTGTCTTTGCTGACTGTATAGAGCTTCTCCATCTTCATCTCCAAAGAATATAATCAATCTGATTTTGGTATTGCCCATCTGGTGAAGTCCAAGTATAAAGTCGTCTCTTGCTATGACCATTGTGTTCTCTTGGCAAAATTCTGTTAGCCTTTCCTCTGGTTTATTTTCTACTCCAAGGCTAAACTTGCCTGTTACTGCAGGTATTTCTTGATTTCTTACTTTTGCATTCCAGTCCTCTATGATGAAAAGGATATCTTTTTTTTTTTTTTTTTTTTTTTTTGGTGTTAGTTCTAGAAGGTCTTGTCAGTCATCATAGAACTGTTCAACATGGAAACAGTCAGAGTTCCAAAGAATAGCAAGGAGAGATAAGAAAGACTCCCTCAGTGACCAAGAAAATAAATAGAGGAAAACCATAGAATGGGAAAGACTAGAGATCTCTTCAAGCAAATTAGAGATACCAAGGGAATATTTCATGCACAGATGGGCACAATAAAGGACAGAAACTGTATAGACCTAATAGAAGCAGAAGATATTAAGAAAAGGTGGCAAGAATACACCAAAGAGCTATACAAAAAAGATCTTCATGACCCAGATAACCATGATGGTGTGATTACTCACCTAGAGCCAGACATCCTGGAATGCAGCAAGTGGGCCTTAGGAAGCATCACTACAAACAAAGCTACTGGAGGTGATGGAATTCTGGTTGAGCTATTTCAAACCCTCAAAGATGATGCTGCAGAAGTGCTGCACTCAATATGCCAGCAAATTTGGAAAACTCAGCAGTGGCAAGAGGACTAGAAAAGGTCAGTTTTCCTTCTAATCTCAAAGAAAGGCAATGCCAAAGAATGTTTAAACTACCATGCAATTGTTCTCTTTTCACACACTAGCAAAGTAATGCTCAAAATTCTCCAAGCTAGGTTTCAACAGTACGTGAACTGAGAACTTCTGGATGTTGAAGCTGGATTTAGAAAAGGCAGAGGAACCAGAGATCAAATCGCCAACATTCTTTGGGCCATAGACAAAGCAAGAGAGTTCCAGAAAAACATCTACTTCTGCTTTATTGATTACACCAAAGCCCTTGACTGTGTGGATCACAACAAACTGTGGAAATTTCGGAAAGAGATGGGAATGCCAGACCACTTTACCAGCCTCCTGAGGAATTTGTATGCCAGTCACGAAGCAACAGTTAAAACGGGACATGGAACAACAGACTGGCTCCAAATTGGGAAAGGAATATTTCAAGGCTGTTTATTATCATCCTGCTTACTTAACTTGTATTCAGAGTGCATCATGCGAAATGCTGGGCTGGATGAAGCACACCCTGGAATCAAAGATGCTGGGAGAAATATCAATAGCCTCAGATATGCAGGTGACACCAATCTTATGGTAGAAAACAAGAGGAACTAAAGAGCCTCTTGATGAAAATGAAAGAGGAGCATGAAAAAAGCTGGCTTGAAATTCAGCATTCAAAAACAAACATCATGGCGTCTGGTCCCATCACTTCATGGCAAATAGGGAAACAATGGAAACAGTGAGAGACTTTATTTTCTTGTGCTCCAAAATCACTGCAGATGGTGACTGCAGCCATGAAATTGAAAGATGCTTGCTCCTTTGAAGAAAAGCTATGACAAACCTAGACAGCATATTAAAAACAAAGACATTAATTCCAACAAAGGTCCATCTAGTCAAAGCTATGGTTTTCCCAGTAGTCATGTATGGATGTGCGAATTGGACCATAAAGAAAGCTGAGTGCCAAAAAATTGATGCTTTTGAACTGTGGCACTGTAGAAGACTCTTGAGAGTCCCTTGGGCTGCAAGAAGATCAAACCAGTCAAATGTTAAGGAAATCAGTCCTGAATATTCTTTGGAAAGACTGATGCTGAAGCTGAAGCTCCAATACTTTGGCCAATTGATGAGAAGAGCCGACACATTGGAAAAGACCCTGATCCTGGGAAAGATTGAAGACAGGAAGAGAAGAGGACAACAGAGGATGAGATGGTTGGATGGCATCATCAACCAAATGGACATGAGCTTGAGCATGTTCTGAAGTACAAGGAAGCCTGGTGTGCTGCAGACCATGAAGTCACTAAGAGTCAGACACGACAGAGTGGACTGAGCTGAACTGAACGTGTAGAATTATTTTTCCTTAGAACTCCTATTCTCTTTTCTGCCTAGAGGAGTCCTTTAGCATTTGTTGTAAAAACTGGTCTGGTGATGCTGGATTTTCTTAGCTTTTAGTTGTGTAAAGCTTTTTATGTCTCCATCAAATCTGAATGAGATTCTCACTGGGTAGAGTTTTCTTGGTTATATATTCTTCCCTTTCACACCTTTACATATATCATGACACTCCTTTCAGCTTGCATCGTTTCTGCTGAGAAATTAGCTGATGGCCTTATGGGAGTTTCCTTCTGAATTATTTTTCATTTTTCCCTTGTTACTTTTAATATTTTTTCTTTGTCTTTAGTTTTTGTCAATTTGATTAGTATGTGTCTCGGTATGTTTCTCCTTGTGTTTATCCTGCGTGGGATTCTCTGTGCTTACTGGGCTTGGTTGACTGTTTCCTTTTCCATATTAGGGAAGTTTTCATCTATCATGACTTCAAATATTTTCTCATGTCCCCTCTGTCTCTTCTTCTGGGACCCCTATAATGTGAATGTTGGTGCATTTAATGTTGTTCCAGAGGTCTCTTAAGCTATCTTCATTTCTTTTAATTCTTTTTTCTTTATTCTGTTCTTCAGTGTGATTTCCACCATTCTTTCTTCCAGGTCACTTATCTACTCATTTGTCTCAGTTATTCTGCTATTGATTCCTTCTAGTAAATTTTTCATTTCAGTTATTGTATTATTCATTTCTGTTTGTTCTTTAGTTCTTCTAGGTCTTTGGTAACGTTTTCTTGCATCTTCTCAGTCTTTGCCTCCATTCTTTTTCTGAGATCCTCGATCATGTTCACTATAATTATTCTGAATTTTTTTTTTTTTGGACTTTTGTCTATCTCCATTTCATTTAGTTGTTTTTCTGGGGATTTTATCTTGTTCCTTCATCTAGGACATAATCCTCTGCATTTTCATTTTGTCTAACTTTCTGTGATTGTTGCTTTAATTTTGCAGTCTCTAGGATTGTAGCTCTTCTTGCTTCAGCTATGTCTCTCTTCATTTTCTTATAAGGGCAGTAGTCCTTCTGGGTTATGACCTCATTTAACCTTAATTACCTCCTTAAGGGTCATATATCCAGATACAGTTACATTCAAACTTAGGATTTAGATTTATGATTTTGGAGGTCAAAATTCAGTGTACAGTAAGTGGGAAACTGGGAAGAGAGAACTCAAAAGATGGAAGGGAAATGTTAAGTATTTTATGTTTAGATTAATTTTCTTAGACATTAATTGTGGAGGGCAAAGAAATTATAATCTTTGTGTAATAACTTAGTAACTGTATAACTTTTTTTTACACTGTATGTTATTTGCCTTCTCTTTGGTATGATAGAAAAAGTCTCTATACTATTTATTTTTGGGCTTTTAGGTGAGCCTGAATTTAAATACATTGGGAATATGCATGGCAATGAAGCTGTTGGACGGGAGCTGCTCATTTTTCTGGCCCAGTACCTGTGCAATGAGTACCAAAAAGGGAATGAGACAATTGTCCAGCTGATCCACAACACCCGGATCCACATCATGCCCTCCCTGAACCCAGATGGCTTTGAAAAGGCAGCATCTCAGGTGGGTCTCGTCAGATCACAGCAGAGCATGAACTTTTTTTTATGAATTTTTTTTAAGGTTTGTACGTATATAATAATAGACAAGGAATATATGCTCACATGAAGCTTACAGAGAGTGAAGGGCTGGGTATAAGTGATATGGTGTTCAATTTCTGGGTAAGAAAAAAGTTTAGAAGGTAAGGAATGGTGGGTGAAGGTTTCTTCCACAGAAATTTCAAATGAGAAATTTTATAAGTCAATATTTAATTGTGTGGTTATTATTGTTAAATGAATCATATTTATTCATTCATGTTTGTCACTAGGTAACTTTCTTTCTAGAAAGCCAGAAGGTTGACAGTTATCTATTCCCATGTATTGAAGAGTGAGGCCATTGCTGTTTCTAAATGAGATGATATCATATTGCCGTCTACTGAAATCAAGAAATAAGGATTTTTGGCTAGATAATGTTTTATGGATGCTTAATCCTTTTCTTATCTATTGATATACATGATCCATAAAGTAGAAAACAAACAAATAAACAGAACAAAACCTTCCTACCATAAATAAAAAAAACTAGTTTAGTAAATTTTAACTGTTAGAGACACTGGGTAGTAATTACGTTCTCATAATTAAGTTTGTTCCCTTTTTGTTTGGACAGGGATGGAGGACATTTTATTTGTTGTTTTCTACAGTTTGAAATAATTTTCGTGTTTAATGGGAACATATTAAAGTATATATTCAGTATGTTAATCTATAGCTAAGAATTTGTTTTGTACATTAAAAATAAAAGATCCAATTACCATTTGACCTTGTAAGAAACCCAAACAGTGAATTTCTTTAAGTATAGTGTTGATATAATTTCTAAAGTTATGAAGAGAAAAATTCTAGTATATTCTAGTACCTAGAGAATTAAATTATTGACTATTTTAAAGTGATATTCAGGACTGTCAGGATGGACAAAAAACTGTCATTGCTATCTTTCATCTTAAAGATTTCGATTCTTCACTTTCTAAGCTATCTGAACTTGCATGACTTTAAGAATATGGACATTATCTCTGTACGAGAGATTTAGTATTAATAGTAAAACAAAAAATGGAATGTAACTGAGTATGCTAGAAATGTATTAAGTTCCTGGATTATATCATTAGTGAAATGAAGTATTTAGAATTAAGCAGAAAATTTCCAATTTACAAAGTTGAAACAAAAGTTACAGAGCTCACATTTTTTCATTAAGACTATTAGAGAAAGGTAATATGTAAATAATTCACTTTAAACTCATTTTAAATGCCTAACCTTCTTTAGGAATTTATTCTTTCCAATATTTATGAGTAGACTGCTGTGGTTTTCAGAGACAGTGAGTATTTTGCTTAAACCAAGTAAACAGTATTGTGCGCTAACATATATGCAGTTTGATGTTGAGTATCTTGTATATATAATTAACATTTAAAATATTGTTCATTGAGAATGTTTTCAAAATATCCATAACAAATGCTTTAAACCTGATAGTTTCATGCGTGTATCAGTTAGACAGTGAAATGCCACTGTAGGAGGATATTGTTGAAATGAATAGTCTTATAAATTATTTTAAAAGCCATTAATGAAGACTTTAAATAGATGATAACATTAACAAAAAATAATTGATGATTTTCCTCTGATTTTTATTTTCTAGCTTGGTGAGCTGAAAGACTGGTTTGTGGGTCGAAGCAATGCCCAGGGAATAGATCTGAACCGGAACTTTCCCGACCTAGACAGAATAGTTTATGTTAATGAGAAAGAAGGTGGTCCAAATAATCATCTGTTGAAAAATCTGAAGAAAATTGTGGATCAAAACACAAAGGTAGAGAACATGTACGGTTTTCTTGGGTTCTGCCCTCCAGCCTAAGGAAATACATCTATTATCTTCATAACAATGAAGGATGCAGAAGTGTCATGAATGCTTGTATGGGATACTTCCCTGTGGCTCTGAAAGTCCAGGCTGGGAGCCTGGGGCCTGGAAACTAGTCCTGCCACTAGAATTGGTCATGAATTTATGGCATTGAATGTAACGGTAGGGGCAGGAGGGAGGAACCCAGTTGTCTAGAAAGTAATTTTGGCCTATTTAAGGGCCCTTTATCAGCACATTTGATTCACTTCTTCTACAGCATTTTACACTGTTGACTTTTTCTTCTTTTCCAGAACTTTCTCCTGCTTTGCACAACTCTACTGTCTTCTACCTCTTCTAGTACCTTTTAAATCACTTCTGAGTTTCTTTCCCTGCTTCTTCTGCCTTGGCTTAAACACTGGCCTTTAGGGTCCCATCTGCTATTGTTATTTCTCTCCCTGGGTTTTCATCCTCTTCTGTACCTTTCGTGTGTTGTTGATTACACAGATTCTCCCAGATCTCTTTACTTACTAACTCAGTCCATTTATCTGGTGACATCTAGGGCCTCAAACTTAGCATGGTCAGAAATAAATCTTTTCCTAAGAAAACACTATCCTCTCATTTACTCGATCATCAAAACCTTGAATTTTCTGTCTGTCACCACTCGCCACACAATGTTACCAGATCTCGGTGACACTCTCAGCCTCTCTCTTGTCTGAAAACTCAGGCCCTATGGTCTTCTGTTCTGATGAGGAAAGTAGCCCCCATCCTTGTTTTGGGTTCAGCCTTTCCCAACTCCTTTCAGTCTTCTCAAATTCCTCCAGAGTGATCTTCATACAGAAAAAAAAAAAAATGCTTAAAATAAATTGCTTAAAAACTATAAATTTGTCAGGTCTCCATTGCTCCAAAGAACAAAGTAAAAACTCAAAATGTGAGACCACTGTGATGGTTTAGTGTGAAGATTCTGGAGGCAGCCACCTTGGTTCAAATGTTGGTTCTGTCCTTGCTGTATGAGTTTTGCAAAGTTATTTAACCACTGTGTGCTTCCTTGTCTTCATCTGAAATATGGAGATGATTATAGTATCTATTGCATAGAGTGGTTATGAGGATTGAGTGAGTTAGTATATTTGAAGTGCTTGAGGTCAGGATATAGAATTCTCACTCCTGTGTCAGCGTTGTTTCTCAGTGCTTTATTATGGCCCATAGGGTCAAATGGACACACACACACCCACTAAACATTGAGTCTTAAGCTTATACTGTTTGAACACTGTTTTTAGTTCCATGGAGAGGAAGTGAGCCCATTATGGAGGAGTGGCGAGGACTGCTCGTGGCAGCCCCTACTGCCTGTTGTGTCTTTCCTGGCAATTCCACTCTTACTTATCAACTCCTAGTACCTTTCTAAGTGAGAGATTGGAAGGGACAGTGTCTCCATTTTATTATAGCTCCAGGACCATTCAAATTTCCCTTGGCCCCTAGTAGCTGCCAGCTCAGCCACTCCTTAATCTGGCTTTGATATGCCATGTACTCCTTAAGTGTACCATCTTCTAATAACTTTATGTCTTCATATGTGTGCTTATTCCAGCTGTTCACAGTGCTTTTCACTTTCCTTCCATATCACCTCCTCTGTGAAGCCTTTCTCTGCTCTTCCAGACATTCTGTTAAGTCTGCTTTTATGTTCTTTATATATACTTCTAGCCTGGTGCTTATAGTTATATAGAACATTATATATGTTATATTATTATGTGTTTATATAGCTGTTTTTCTTTTTGATTTTAGATTTCAGTCCCTTGAATACAGGAATTAGAATTCTTATTTGAATCTAACACATAGTAGGCTTGAAGCCTATTATGAATGAGTTCAATGAAGCCTGGCAAGCATATTACAACATCTGAAAACCAGCTGCTGGAGTTCCAGACATGCACTCAGCACATGGCTGGGACACTGTTAGATCCAGGAGAGAGGGAGTCTCAGATTATTGGTCTAAAATTCTTAAAAATTTTCCTGTCTATATTTAGAATTCATCACAGAAATCTGAGCTGAGTCCATAAATGGGATCAGTCTGTGAAAGGGCTGCCTGGGGCCAAGGATTTTGGCAGAACTTGATAAATGGGTGACTTAAACACTGTTGCTTTTGAGTCACAGATCTTCATTTTTTCTGCTCCTAAACCACCTTTTCTGGGAGAAGGGAATACTGGAAAAGAAAAGGGCAGAGGTAATCAGAAGGGAAAAGAGGATAGTCCTGTGTGCTGTGGCATAAGACAAAAATGAAAAATTGTTCTGAAAGCTTAGTGTGGCTATCTTCCCAGATTTTCCCCATTGCCCATGCTGTCTGTTACAACAAAAAAATGAGAGCATCTCCTTCTGTGAGAGCACCAAAATCACAACTAGCTGTTGAACGACCATCAATAGGAGGACACTGGAACCCACCACAAAAAAGATACTCCACATCTAAAGACAAAGAAGAAATCACAGAGAAATATGATAGGAGGGGTGCAATCATAATAAAATCAAATTCCATACCTGCTGGTAGGGGACCTGCAAACTGGAGAACAATAATACCAAAGAAGTTCTCTCACTGTTGTGAAGATTCTGAACCCTACATCAGACTTCCCTGCCTGGGGATCCAACAAAGGGACTGGGAATTCCCAGAGAACTTGACCTTGCAGGCCAGTAGGATTTGACTATAGGACTTCCACGAGACTGGGGGAAACAGAGACTCCAGTCTTGGAGGGCACAAATAAAAATCTTATGCACACCAAGACCTAGAGGAAAGGAACAGTGACCCCACAGAAGATGGAACCAAAATGAAGGGTTTCCTGTTAAGGTGTGGGTCAGCAGGGCTCACCACAGGGACTGGGACACAGGCAGCAGTAGTCTGGGAAGGTGCTCTTTGATGAAAGCCCTCTTGGAGGTCACCATTAACTCTACCATGGAGCCCATAGACAGGGCTGGGTCTCTCAGGCCAAACAACTACCAGGGAGGGAGTGCAACCCCACCCATCAGCAGATAATTGGATTAAAGCTTTACTGAGCAAGGCCCTGCCCACCAGAGCAAGACCCAGTTTTTCCCACTGCCAGTCCCTCCCATCAGGAAGCTTACACAAGCCTCTTAGCCTCTTCCATCAGAGGGCAGACAGAAGAAGCAAGAAGAACTGCAGTCCCATAGCAGCTAAAACAAAAACCACATTACAAAAAGCTAGTCATGATGAAAAAGCAGAAAGTTTTGTCCCAGGTGAAGGGACAAGATAAAACCCCAGAGAAACAACTAAATGAAGTGGGGACAGGTAACCTTTCAGAAAAAACAATTCAGAGTTATGATAGTGAAGATGATCTAGGGTCTTGGGGAAAGAATGGAGAAGATGTGAAGGAATCAATAGCAGAATAACTGAGGCAGAAGGATAAATGACCTGGAGGACAGAATGGTGGAAATCACTGCCACAGAACAGAATATAGAAAACAGAATGAAAATAAATAAAGACAGCCTGAGAGACCTCTGGGACAATATTAAATGCATCAACATTTGCATTATAGAAGTCCCAGAAGGAGAAGAGAGAGAAAAAGGTCCTGAGAAAATATTTGAAGACAAAATAACTGAAAACTTCCCTACCATAGGAAAGGGACTAGTTAACTAAGTCCAGGAAACACAGAGAGTCCCAGGCAGGATAAACCCATGGAGAAACACATCAAGGCACATAGTGTTCAAATTGACAAAAATTAAAGACAAATATAAAATATTGAAAGCAACAAGGGAAAAACAACAAATAACATAAAGGAACTCCCATCAGGCTGATTTCTCAACAGAACTCTACAAGCCAGAGGGAATGGCATGATACATTTAAAGTGATGAAAGGGAAGAACCTACAACCAAGAATACTCTAAGCAAAACTCTCCTTCAGAGTTGATGGAGAAATCAAAAGTTTTCCGGACAAGCAAAAGTTAAGAGAGCTCGGCACCACCAGACCAGCTTGAAAACAAATGCCAAAGGAAATTCTCCAGTCAGGAAACAAAAGAAAAGGAAAAGACCTACAGAAAATAAACCCCCCAAAATTAAGAAAATGGTATCATGCATATCAATAATTACTTTAAATGTAAATGGATTAAACACACCAACCAAAAAACATAGATTGATTGGGTTGGGTGGATGAAAACATGTGCATGTATGCACTTCCACCTACTACATCACTCTATTTGACCCCCCAAATTGTATGTAATTATTTTACATTGTTAAGTGAATCATATAACTATTATGGCTTGCAATTGTAATCATCTTTTACTTCTTGTCTATTTCTTATGAAAACTGATAAACATCTTTTACTATTGTAGAAAATCTATACTATTGTATAGAACAAAAGAAACTAAGCAACGAGAAAAAGAATTCATATTACCAACCATTGAACAATCATGAAATAAACTCATGTTGACAGGATATTAGATTAACAGTTTTAGTGAAAATGCTGTCATTTTCAGCCAGCACTGCATCCTCTTCCCCAATGGAACCTATATAATATTTCTATAAGATTTATATTAGATATTTTCATATATCTAGATTAAGCAATACTTTAAAAAAGATGCTTGTTCATGGCACTTTAAAAAAAAATTAGAGCTTTTATTTTAAAAAGTCTTAATGCCAATACCTTTCCTGGGTATTATAAAGGTAATAAAAAGAGAAATATATAAAAATTAAGTTTTGAACTCTTTTCTGGAACAGAAGCAAGATTTGTTTATATTTTACTAAATCTTCAGTAAATCTGCTTAAATCATGGGATGATATTGCCCATGTCTGCCTCATCTCCTTTTTCCATCTTTGTCAATTAGGCTTAGACAGTGTTTTGACATGGCCCAGTACAAGATACATAGTAGGCATTTCATTCATGTAATTACACATCACCCCTTTCTCACTTCCCTCTTCTTAGCCTTTTAGTGCTATGTAGGTATGTTCATTTCCCTTCAGTCACTCAGTCGTGTCCAACTCTTTGC